CCACCCTCCTTCTTGAACCCCTGGGTGCAGGATAAGGTCAGAGCTCCTTGGAGGACCCAGGCGGGCTTCCACTGTCTGCCGGCCTCTCAGTCTCACCAGGCCTTTTCACATTTCCTGGAGTTCTCTCGGATGGCGCCCTGTCTCCTGCCTCCAGGCCTTTCTTTGCGTGTGCTGTTGCCTTTGCCTAGAGTGCCCTCCTGTTCCGCTTCGGCAGATTGCAGCTTGGACCTCGGCTCCTCTGCCGCCTTCCCTGGGCTGCCCTGTCTGTTCCCGCCCCCAGACTCCCATCTCCCTGGGAGGTCAGGGTAGCAGGGTCCTCGCCTCTGTATCACACACGGCTCAGCACCTGTCCGCTTCAGATGGCTCCTAAAAGCTAGAAATGCACGTCCTGGGTGGAGAGACTGCATGAGGCCCTGGGGCGGGGATGAGGGTGGGAATCTGGCCCATCTGGGCCTAGCAGGGCCAGCCCAGGGCAACGTGGCAGGTGTTCAGAGGTGGGGCCTGCTTCTTCTGAACACCAGCCTCTGGGGGCAGCCTTAAGCCTCGTCTCCGTGTTCACCGGCAGAGCTGACCTCAGAGGCCCGCTGTGCGGCCGGGTGGGATGTCTGCTGACATGTCTGGTTCATACCTGCGCCCGTGCTAAGTGTCCCACACACAGCATCTCGTTCAACCCTCACCAGAGTGCTGAGACGGGGATGAGTGTTCCCATTTCACAGATGAGGCAAATGGAGCCCAGAGAGGGTAAGCAGCGAGCCAAAGGCACCTCAAGAATCAGGAGTTAGACGGCTGAGGGAGGGGGAGGTGGGGAGAACATGGCCTCGTCTGACTCCACAGCTCACAGGCTCTCTTCCCTGGATCCACCCCCAGCCCAGCAAAGCCTTCCTGTCCAGGTCAGGCCCCTGAACTTCAGGCAAGGGCAGTAGCTCGTCCAAAGTCACAGGGTGTGAGTGAGGCTTCCAGAACCTTGGTCTAGTGCGGAGGCCGCTTTGTCCCCCACTGGGGCTCCTATCACCAGGCTGCATGACCTCTGCCCTCCTCCACCGACGATATCTGGGGAGGGAGAGAAGGATGCAGCTAGGATATCCGTGCCAGTTTACAGTGGGATGCTGTCTCTGATGGGCTAAGTTTTCCCTTCTGAAAAACAGGTAGAACTATTCTGCCTAATAGAAACTGAACTATTTTTTTTTTTTTTTTTGCAAAAGCATCTTGGAATATTAAAAAAAAATGTCAAAGGAAAATCATTTAGCCCTGGGCATCGTGACCCATCCTGAGCTGCAAGTCCTACCAGGATTTCACCCAGACTATCCACCTATGCCTCCCTCATTACAGCCTCAGCTCTGCTTCTGTCCCTGACTTCAAACAATGCTCCCCACTCCCAACAACTTCACAGGCCACTATCCGCTCCCTGAGCTACAATCACAGAGGTTTTTCTCATTAGGGGATGACAGGACACAGCAGGGGATGGCGTTTATTGGCTCTGGAGTCAGAATGACCTGGGTTCAGGTTCCAGCTCTGTGGTCTTAGGGAAGTTATGAAACCTCTCTGGGGCTCAGTTTGCTCATCTATAAAATGGGGACGACACCAGTGCCTACCTCACAAGTTGTTAGATGGTTTGAAAGCTGTGGTATAGGTAAAGAACCTTGCCATTTTCTGGCATTTGAAGGGGGCTTAATAATGGGAGTTGTTATTGTTAGCTATGCCTTTATGACCACAAAGTTTTCCACTACTACTGCCTGGGACTACCAGGATCCCCAGAAGGCAAGATCCCTCGGAGCAAGTCTCCTGTCCTATCATGTCCCCCCTCCCCTCCTCATCCCAGGCCTCAGTCATTCTCAGGATGAGCAGCTCCAGGACAAAGAGAAGCCTGGGCTCCAACAGCCACCTCAAACGCCTGCTGCTGTTGTGTAGCTGCTAAGTCATATCCAACTCTGCAACCCCATGAGCTGCAGCCTGCCAGGCTCCTCTGTCCATGGGATTCTCCAGGCAAGAATACTGGAGTGCGTTGCCATTTCCTTCTTCAGGGGATCTTCCCGACCCAGGGATCGAACCCGAGTCTTCTGCATTGGCAGGCGAATTCTTTACCATCTGAGCCACCAGGGAAAGTGTGTTAGTCGGTCAGTCGTGTCTGACTCTTTGTGACCCTGTGGTCTGCAGGCTTCCAGGCTCCTCTGTCCATGGGATTTCCCAGGCAAGGATACCAGAAGCCCCACCTCAAGCACAGAGTCCAGAAATATAAGCACTTCAGAGACCAGCTTCATTTTAAACTTCTAAATTACAGAGTCCCTGACCTGGAAAAAGTCTCCAGGCACCTAGCAGTCTACTGTCTGCTTCCGATTATCAAATTACCCTAGAAAAAGAGACTTACTTGTTCCTACTGCTTAAAAATCCCCACAATCTCCCTAGAACCCCAGATATCCACGTCATTGATTACTGATGACTGGGAGTGAGCCCTGTGTTACAGAGGATTCTGAGGTTCCGTCTTAACTGAGCCAGCAAGAGCACGGTGATCAATTAGTGATGTCTGCCATGGGCACAGGAGGGGAAGCGTCGGTACACCTTCCAGGTGTCTGTCATCCCCACTCTGCATCTCTCTCAACTATAAACTCCCAGAAAGTGAAGGCTGAGCCTTGTTTAACTCTGTGACCTGCCGGCATTCAGGATAGCGCCTAGCCCAGAGTACGAATTCAGTAGATGTCTGTTCTTGGAATCCTTAGAGCTTGAAAATTCTCCTTGAGTTCTAGCTAAAATGCATTTTGCTGCAGTAGAAGCCTGTTCTGGGTGGAATACAGAGGGATCCAGCCAATCTGCCCTCTGGGCTTGTACTCAATCCCAACCCCGGTCCTCCTGCCCCTTGCCTTGCACTCTGGGGGGAGATTCTTACCGGGGAGGTGGAGTGGGGGGAGCCAGTGGGTAAGGCCTGTCCAACACGTGCATGTGGTAGGCAGGTGGGGAGTACACAGGCGGGGGCTCCTCGTCAGAGCTATCGGGTTCCAAGGTCCTCTCCAAAATCTGCATCAGAGACAAGAAAGAAATATTAACAACCCTTCCTTGAACTGAATAACATGTAGACAAAACATCAAGCGTGGGCAAGGATGTGTAGTCAGGGAATTCCGTTACTGCTGGTGGGAGTGGAAAGTGATACAACCACCGCTCTGCAGAACTGTCTGGCTTCCTGCACTGGCACTCAGCACATAGGCTACCTCTGAGCCCACGATTCCAACACACACAGCAGACGTGAATGCACATGTCCCCAGAGGAATGCTCAGAGCCATCCAAGTAAGGTTCAAAACCAGGCAAAACAACTTCACAGGGATCACAGCTGGAGCAGTGTGGCCTCTGGGGATGGGGAGGCTGAGAAGGGGCATTCCAGGCTCTGCTGATGCTTCCTGATCCTGGTGCTGATGAAACTTCACTGAGCTGCCTGCTTGGGCCTTGTGAACTCTTCTGTTCATGTGTTACTTTTGGTAAATAGCTTTAACATCATTCCTATCCTCTCTCAAAGAATTTCCACATCGATTAACTCACCTTAAGCCCAAACAACTTGGCAGAGTAGGATATGGATCATCACCCCCATTTTACAGATGAGGAAACTGAGGCACAGGCTGACTGATGAACATGGCAAAAGCCACACACTGTTTCTAGAACTGAGTCTCTAACTTGAATGTGGTGTCTACAGCAGGAGTCTCTCCTTCAGACACAATGCCGGCACACCCAGGTTGGATTCTCAGGGCAGAGACCAGCAAAGTGTGGGCCTAGGCCCTTCATCATGGATTCCTCTCCTCATCCAGGAGCCAGAGAAAGGGGGCAAGCGAGGCCAAATGCTGGGCAAAGGCCAGGCTCCTGCTGTACGGGCTGATCTGAACCCTTCTCCAGGGGAGTCTAGAGCCAGAGGAAGGCCCAGGTCACACAGTCCCCGCCCCTTACCCAACTCTGCGCCTATCTCACCTCCAAGACCAAAGGACTCATGAAGGGCTCGGAGCCTGTCAACTGGCCCCAAGTCGGAATCCCAAGTGAGTCTGCAGAAGTCACCACTAAGACGCCTCTGCACGCCCCTGGCCTCGCCCAGCCACTCTCGGGCACCCGGTCTCAAAAGGGATACCACGGCGGGCGGGAGGCTGGGTGAGCGAGGATGCATGCACACATACACACACTGCCTCGTGTTTCGGGCGGCATCTGTGCTCACCACCATACCGCCATCGCACACACACTGCCACGCTTCATACACAGCCAGCCAGCCTGACCCAAGGAGGCCTCCTGCTCTGGAATGCACTAACGTTCTTTCTTTTGAGGCGGAAAGTATTTAAACAGATGCTTTTGCAGGAAAAAAAAAAGACGGTAGCTGCCTTTCGGGCCACTGCTCTCCTTACCCCGAATTTCCACAAGAAAAGGAGAGCGAGCGAGAGCACCGTAAGATCCAGTCCTGGTCCCTGGCAGACCATGGCTCTAAGGGACGGGGCTCCAAGCTGGGGCCCCCGGCCAACCCCACCACCGCCCCTCGGTGGCCGGCCTGGCCTGGCCCCACTGAAGCCAGTCTGGGTCAGACGGCTGAGGAGGGGCGAGTTCCGTTGAGACTCTTCCCAGAGGGAAGCTGCTGGGGGTCCCTCTGACTGAGGCCCGCAGCAGTTGCCCCTCAGGCCTCCACACAGGAGGGGGCGGTGAGGTCTCTTTCCTCAGCCGCTCCTGCCCCTGAGCGCGGCCTCCGGGGGCTCCACGAACCAGACGCCCATCAGAGGCTCCTGGAGCAGGACGAAGCCAGAAGGCAGAGAGCAGGCCAGGCACACTCCGGAAAGGCTGACCCCCAGTCTTCGGGGAGAAGTGACCCCAGTCGTGCTTCTGGCCTCCCCCTTCCCCCGCAACGCCACGAGAGCCACAGTGAGGTTGTCCTTCTGGCTCTAAAGGTGCTGAAGTTTCTGGTTCCCTGGCCTCCCGGCTTAGCCCCATGTGGGTGATGGATGCCTGCCAGGTGCTCTGGGGGCCAAGGTCCAGGCCATTTATCTGACGGGAGACATTTCTCTGTGGCGAGGATACCCCTCAGGCCAGCCCACCATTCATCAGCCCCCAGAGAGAGGGGGCTTTTTCCAGTCAGCAGTTATTGTCAGCCCAGCTGCTGCTCATAAATTTTCCGCAGCACTTTCCGCTGGCTCAGGAACCGCCTGCCGACGGGCCCACGCAGAGCTCCAAAGATGAGGGCTGGGGAAACAGCCAAGGGGGCTGCTGAGAAGGGGCTCCATCTGGAAAGCCAGATACTTAGAAAAACAGAAGCACACACAGCGCAGGCCTAGCGAGGGCATCAGGGGACTTTTACAGAGGGTCATGGGGCTGTGGGTGCTGTGAACAATGGGGGAAACACTATCCCACCTGCCAGACTGTCAGGACAAATGAGACTGTGGAAAGGGTCAGTGTTTGCAGAGAACTTTCCTTCCAGCTCAGAATTAAAGGTGGTATCTGCAAACACACACACACATACACACACACCCCTCCTCTTTGCAAAGAGGATCCACTGGCTGATCCAAGCAGAGCCAAGGTGTGCTCTCCCAGGAAAAGAGACTAAAGAAAGCTGTGCAAAGACAGCAACAACATTTACTCATTCAACAAACACTCCCCAAGTGCCTGCTATGTACAATGACTGTCCTGGGTGCTGCAGGTGACACAGGGATGAGCCAGATGTCACTGCCCACAGAGCTTCTCCTCCACCCAAAGAGAGAACACCCAGGCAGCACCCCGATAGGAGGAAGAGTGAGGGGGCTTTGCCCAGCAGGATGACTCTGATTAACGGAGAACGGCCACATGCAGGTCTGTGTTCAGAAGGACTCTGAGGCCACATCAAGGTCTAGGTTTCTCACTGTAAACGGGATAATAATAATGCCACCTCATGAAGTGTGTGAAGGTTTGAAGTGATGATACATCTAAAGCATATAGGATGATGCCTGGCCCAGGCTGGGACTCAGTGAAGAGCAGAGCTGAATCCATTCTGCTGGGTCGTTCCGTCTTATCCATGGCTATACATGCCAGGTTCCCCTGCAGGCAGTGACTCTCTTCTCAAAGACTCCGGGTGCCCCTTCTGGGCCCAGGACTGCAGGTCCTACCAAGGATGGGAGGCCAGATGTGAACTCTTGGAGGGGTCACGGAGGCCTGGCCACACCCCGCAGGTGGGCCAAGGCAGTGGGTGGGTCCCTTCTCCCCCAGCCACCTTCCTGGAGAAAGGAAACAACTGCTTGAGTATCCCTCATGCTTCCGGCAAAGGAACTGAGCTCACAAGTCTGATGTGTCACCCATCTCCCGTGGTTCCTGCTGCTCTAGAACATTCTCCCTTCTTTGTCAGCTGCAAGGCATGCTGCTCTCTGCTCACTCGAGGAAACTGACAGAGGCCCTGCTGCCAGCTCCTAAGGGCTCCTGCTCTATCCCGCCTCTGCACAAGCTGTTCGCTCTGTCTGCACACCTTTGCCTCCTCTTCACCCCTCCTCTGGGCAGCCATTTCTCCCTCTCTGCTTCCTCCATTCTCCCCATCTGAGCACTCACTCCTGTGGACTGCCACTGCTAGACATCTGCCTCTAGTCCTCCCGGGACCGTGAACTCTGATGAGGGCGGAGACTCTGCGCTGGCCTAAGTGGATATCCCAAGACTCCAATGGCAGCCCACTCCAGTGTTCTTGCCTGTGGACAGAGGAGCCTGGAGGGCTGCTGTCCATGGGGTCGCAGAGTCGGACACGACTGAAGCAACTTAGCGTGCACGCATGCACTGGAGGAGGAAATGGCAACCCACTCCAGTGTTCTTGCCTGGAGAATCCCAGGGACGGGGGAGCCTGGTGGGCTGCCGTCTATGGGGTCACACAGAGTCGGACACGACTGAAG